CTACTACTACTACTACTACTACTACTACTACTACTACTACTACTACTACTACTACTACTACTACTACTACTACTACTACTACTACTACTACTACTACTACTACTACTACGACTACTACTACTACGACTACTACTACTACTACTACTACTACTATTACTACTACTACTACTACTACTACTACTACTACTACTACTACTACTACTACTACTACTACTACTACTACTACTACTACTACTACTACTACCACTCCTATCCTTATTCCTTGTTAGAATATACTCCTACTCCCCCCTCAGGCCGGCCGATAGGGGCCGCATCCGGGTGGTCCCATCCTAACCTCTTAAAAAACAATACAAAATCAACATTTTTCTTATTATTTCCTCTCGACATGAACGTCTTGTCGTCCACGGCGATAATCCATTGCAAAAAACACCACAAAGAGCACACTCGCGCGTTCATGTCAGAATCCTACCGAACACCGTGTGTTTGCAAGCATTTCAACATAAAAACATCAAAAACCCAAAGCTTGTTTTCACAAAAATTCTACAATTTTCCTGCCCGGCTCTCTTGCTGAAATCATAAGAAAACCATAGGAATCTTAAGAATTCGGTCAAATCCAGCGATTTCACGTCATCGCGCGGTGCACTCGCGATGCTCTGTCATGCACCCAGGCCGCGAATCCTGTGCAAAAAATACCACGCGGGCGACATGCGCGCGCGTCGCCGCGAGCGCATGCTCAAATCCTTCTAGAGTCGTCGCCGTCATTGGCACCGTCGCATGGACGTCCTGTCGTCCACGTCGCAAAATGCATAGCAAGAGTGGGACGCGGCGCACACCCCGCGCCCGCCCATCCAATCCGTCCCATTCGAATCTGCAAAAGACAATACACAGTTTTCGTTTTTCTTGTCAACATGGTCGTGCTGTCGTCACGTCGCAAAATGCGTGGCAGGAGTGGGACGCGGTGCACACCCCGCGCGAAGGGGTGACATGTCGCTCTCGCCTCGGCGCCGCGCACCAACGTTTTTCCTCTCAGCATGGACGTCCTGTCGTCCACGTCGCAAAATGCTTGGCAGGAATGGGATGCGGCGCACACCCCGCGCCCGCCCATCCAAACCCCCCCTTTATAAAAAAACAGTACAAGTTGGGGCCTTCAGGCTTCCTGCGGTGTACCGGGCCATTCTCGACTCGTCTGGCAATGCGTGCGCGGCATTCAACACGCGCTCGCCAGTTCCCGTCGGCAACCGCCATCGCGGCCGCATCAGCTGTACCAAACCGGCTGGCCGGTGTGACTTCGGCCCCCAGTTGTGCCAGCTTTGCTTCTTATGTTGTGGGAGGGCGGGCGGGACTGGGCATGCCATGCTTGACTCGCTCGAGCTGGCTAGCTTGACTCCTACTCCTACTCCTACTCCGATCCTTATTCCTTATTAGAATATACTCCTACTCCCCCCTCAGGCCGGCAGATAGGGGCCGCATCCGGGTGGTCCCATCCTAACCTGTAAAAAACAATACAAAATCAACATTTTTCTTATTTTTTCCTCTCGACATGGACGTCCTGTCGTCCACGGCGATAATCCATTGCAAAAAACACCACAAAGAGCACACGCGCGCGTTCATGTCAGAATCCTACCGAACACCGTGTGTTTGCAAGCATTTCAACATAAAAACATCAAAAACCCAATGCTTTTTCACAAAAATTGTACAAATTTCCCGCCCGGGCTCTCTTGCTGAAATCATAGGAAAACCATAGGAATCTTAAGAATTCGGTCAAATCCAGCGATTTCACGTCATCGCGCGGTGCACTCGCGATGCTCTGTCATGCACCCAGGCCGCGAATCCTGTGCAAAAAATACCACGCGGGCGACATGCGCGCGCGTCGCCGCGAGCGCATGCTCAAATCCTTCTAGAGTCGTCGCCGTCATTGGCACCGTCGCATGGACGTCCTGTCGTCCACGTCGCAAAATGCATGGCAAGAGTGGGACGCGGCGCACACCCCGCGCCCGCCCATCCAATCCGTCCCATTCTAATCTGCAAAAGACAATACACAGTTTTTGTTTTCTTGTCAACATGGTCGTGCTGTCGTCACGTCGCAAAATGCGTGGCAGGAATGGGACGCGGTGCACACCCCGCGCGAAGGGGTGACATGTCGCTCTCGCCTCGGCGCCGCGCACCAACGTTTTTCCTCTCAGCATGGACGTCCTGTCGTCCACGTCGCAAAATGCTTGGCAGGAATGGGATGCGGCGCACACCCCGCGCCCGCCCATCCAAACCCCCCCGTTATAAAAAAACAATACAAGTTGGGGCCTTCAGGCTTCCTGCGGTGTACCGGGCCATTCTCGACTCGTCTGGCAATGCGTGCGCGGCATTCAACACGCGCTCGCCAGTTCCCGTCGGCAACCGCCATCGCGGCCGCATCAGCTGTACCAAACCGGCTGGCCGGTGTGACTTCGGCCCCCAGTTGTGCCAGCTTTGCTTCTTATGTTGTGGGAGGGCGGGTGGGACTGGGCATGCCATGCTTGACTCGCTCGAGCTGGCTAGCTTGACTCCTACTCCTACCTACTCCTACTCCTACTCCGATCCTTATTCCTTATTAGAATATACTCCTACTCCCCCCTCAGGCCGGCAGATAGGGGCCGCATCCGGGTGGTCCCATCCTAACCTGTAAAAAACAATACAAAATCAACATGTTTCTTATTTTTTCCTCTCGACATGGACGTCCTGTCGTCCACGGCGATAATCCATTGCAAAAAATACCACAAAGAGCACACGCGCGCGTTCATGTCAGAATCCTACCGAACACCGTGTGTTTGCAAGCATTTCAACATAAAAACATCAAAAACCCAATGCTTTTTCACAAAAATTGTACAAATTTCCCGCCCGGGCTCTCTTGCTGAAATCATAGGAAAACCATAGGAATCTTAAGAATTCGGTCAAATCCAGCGATTTCACGTCATCGCGCGGTGCACTCGCGATGCTCTGTCATGCACCCAGGCCGCGAATCCTGTGCAAAAAATACCACGCGGGCGACATGCGCGCGCGTCGCCGCGAGCGCATGCTCAAATCCTTCTAGAGTCGTCGCCGTCATTGGCACCGTCGCATGGACGTCCTGTCGTCCACGTCGCAAAATGCATAGCAGGAATGGGACGCGGCGCACACCCCGCGCCCGCCCATCCAATCCGTCCCATTCTAATCTGCAAAAGACAATACACAGTTTTTTGTTTTTCTTGTCAACATGGTCGTGCTGTCGTCACGTCGCAAAATGCGTGGCAGGAATGGGACGCGGCGCACACCCCGCGCGAAGGGGTGACATGTCGCTCTCGCCTCGGCGCCGCGCACCAACGTTTTTCCTCTCAGCATGGACGTCCTGTCGTCCACGTCGCAAAATGCTTGGCAGGGATGGGATGCGGCGCACACCCCGCGCCCGCCCATCCAAACCCCCCCGTTATAAAAAAAACAATACAAGTTGGGGCCTTCTGGCTTCCTGCGGTGTACCGGGCCATTCTCGACTCGTCTGGCAATGCGTGCGCGGCATTCAACACGCGCTCGCCAGTTCCCGTCGGCAACCGCCATCGCGGCGCATCAGCTGTACCAAACCGGCTGGCCGGTGTGACTTCGGCCCCCAGTTGTGCCAGCTTTGCTTCTTATGTTGTGGGAGGGCGGGTGGGACTGGGCATGCCATGCTTGACTCGCTCGAGCTGGCTAGCTTGACTCCTACTCCTACTCCTACTCCTACTCCTACTTCTACTCCTACTCCTACTCCTACTCCTACTCTACTACTACTACTACTACTACTACTACTACTACTACTACTACTACTACTACTACTACTACTACTACTACTACTACTACTACTACTACTACTACTACTACTACTACTACTACTACTACTGTACCACTTACCTACTAACTACTACTACTACTACTACTACTCTACTACTACTACTACTACTACTACTACTACTACTACTACTACTACTACTACTACTACTACTACTACTTACTACTACTACTACTACTACTACTACTACTACTACTACTACTACTACTACTACTACTACTACTACTACTACTACTACTACTACTACGACTACTACTACGACTACTACTACTACTACTACTACTACTACTACTACTACTACTACTACTACTACTACTACTACTACTACTACTACTACTTCTGCTGCTGCTGCTGCTGCTGCTGATGCTGCTGCTGCTGCTGCTGCTGCTGCTGCTTCTGCTGTCTTTGCTTTACCTACTGCTACTATTACGGCTGGCGTTCTTCTTCGTCCTCCGCCTCCTCCCCGTTCTCCCCGTGGTCCCCGAACTCTGGTGCAGCTCCCAAGCTCAACAGGAAGCCTGGGCCTCCGCACCCCTTTCGTAGAACGCCACAGCAAGGGCCGCAGGGCGCACACCCAGGAACACGTCCCCAAATATACCACACAAGGGCGGCCTGCTGACCCACCTCCCCGCCATAGGTAAGTGGGTGCGAAGTCCCTGTGCGAAATGGGGTGGGCAGGGAAGGGCACCATACGCCTTTCAGCATGACAGGGCTCCGACACCAGAAACCCGCCCGAAAACAAAGGGTAGGCACTGCAAGCCTTCCCGGTGACGTTGACTAGTTGCACATGCGCCATATTTTCGTAGATTCACTGACTCCCACAATCAATAGTTGATTCATCCCTCCCCATCCTTCCCTCCTCCGCCCCTCTCCCTTTTCACTTTGGGGAGGAGAGAAAAGGCCACAGGAAACTGAAGCCCACGCAAGGCTGGATTCACATGCACATCATCCAGAGGCCACGCCATGGATGCACATGATAAAGCCCGGAATGCTTGACCAGAGTAGGACACATGGCCACATGTACATCCAGCTCTCGCCAAGGCCTGCCGCGCAACGTGTATTCATCTTCCTGCTGCCTGGGGGGGACTGAGAAGGTTGTTCTTGCATGCTTCCCCTCCTCTGCCCCCTCGCGTGGCCGCGACCCGCCACCCCGAGCGAGCGCGGGCGCCTCCGCGCGGGCCTCCACCGCCCACTCGTCCTTCTTCGCCAGCCTCTGCAGCGGACGAGGGAGGGGGAGGGAGAGGCGGAAGAGGCGGGAGGAGGAGGAGGACGAGGAGAAGGAGGAGGACAAGGGGGAGGGGGAATGGATGCGGAAGAGGCGGGAAGAAAAGGAGGAGGAGGAGGACGAGGAGGAAAAATTTGAGCTTGGAAAACAATAGCGCAACAAATCTAGGCTGACGAAGGACCCAACCACATGCAGCTGCGAGTGCCGCATTGTGGGCACCGCTTTCGGTGGAGCTCTTTATGGGGACACGAAGCGTGCCAGGGGTGCGCCGACATCGGTGGCGCGGACGCATGTGGACGCCGCCGCTGGGGCCTTCGGTGGAGCCCCCTATGGGGCCACGAAACATTGTCCTGGGCGGGGGAGACGCATGCGAACCGCGCCATTGGGACCTTCGCTGGAGCTCCTCATGGGGCCACGAAGCGCTGTCATGGGTGGGGGAGACGCATGCGCACGCACTGCTGGGCGGCGGAGACGCATGCGGACGGCGCCACTGGGGCCTTCGGTGGGGCTCCCTGTGGGGCCACGAAGCGCTGTCCTGGGTGGGGGAGACGCATGCGAACGGTGCCACTGGAGCCTTGGCCACGAAGCGCTGCCATGGGTGGCGGTGACGCATGCGGACCCGGACACTGCCACTGGAGCCTTCGGTGGAGCCCCCTCCCTATGGGCCACGAAGCGATGTCCTGGGTGGCGTTGACGCATGCGGACCCTGCTACTGGAGCCTTCGGTGGAGCTCCCTATGGGGCCACGAAGCGCGGTCCTGAATGGTGCTGACGCATGCGGACCCTTCCACTGGAGCCGTCGGTGGAGCTCCCTATGGGGCCACGAAATGCTGTCCTGGGTGGCGTGAAAGCATGCGGACCCTGCCACTGGAGCCGTCGGTGGAACTCCCTATGGGGCCACGAAGCGCTGTCCTTGGTGGCGGAGACGCACGCGGACCCTGCCAGTGGAGCCGTCGGTGGAGCTCCCTATGGGGGGTTGCGCGCGTGCCGAGCGCCCTGCGCGCCGGCGATCTCGAGCAGCTGTCTGCACACCTGCCTGCGCAATCGGCCTATGCCGGCCAGAACCTTCGACCTCTTGACTGCGATCTCGAGCTTGACCAGCTTGAGCTGGTCCACGAGCACGCGAGTGGCGCCGACTAAGTCGCCCTGAACCCTCTGGGTGCCTCCCCAGCGCTGGAGGACCAAATGATCCACCGCGATCGCTGGAGCAACGGCCCCGAATCGTGCCACCATTTCATCGAGCGGTTGTAAGACCATGAGCTTCATGAACCCTGCGGCGAACGCGTTGCCAGCCAGGGCCGCCTGAAACACCTCCAACTGGAGCACCCTGGGCGCGCGGTAGAGCGAGACCTGGGCTTGTCCAGCCAGCGCGGAAACCCGAACAGGATGCCTGCCTGAACCAACACGCATGGGAGACCTGCTCGAAGGCCTTTCAGAGATCCAGCAGGATGCTGGCAGACGCCCAATCTTGATGAGGATGACGGCCGGCCATCATAGCGATCCACTCGGACCGCGCCTGCCGCCGCCACACCGCTCTGTCGCGCGAGCGCCCAGAGCATCCCCGCCAATGCGGTCTGTCGTTGTCCTTCTCTCGCTGCCGCATGAGGGGTCTGCGCAGCCTGCCGTGAACTCTGACCACAGCAGCCAACAGGGCCATGGGCCGAAGTCCACCATCAGCTTTGGGAATGAAGGCCATCTTGGTGATGAAGTCGGGCCACGCTGCCTGCTTCTCGATGGCCATGACCAAGTCTATGAAAGCTTCAATACCCTGGTCATCCGACAAATTGAATTCGCTCGGACGAATGCTGTCGAAATTGGACCCACACTGTGGCTTGAACGATGAGATCACCTTCCGCAGCTCTGCCACAGATGGCCGATCAGGGCGCCCCCCAAGGCCCTCAGGCCAGTCCAGACGGTGCCTCTCGTGCTCAGCCTCTCGCGGTGCTCTCGCAGGAGGCTGCGAAGGTCCTGGTGGGCGACATTAGGGTGCTCGCCGAACCCCTCCCCTACCACCCCCCCGCGGCTGCGGGCCCCGCCCACGCTGCCCGAGGCAGCGGCGCGATTCCCGCTCCTCGCGCCGACAGCGACCCCCGAACGGGGGCCCGCGGCACTCGGAGGGCCCGCGGGCCTCTCGACAACCACTTCCTCCACTGCAGCAGCCTGACCCGGGGCAGGCGCGACCACGCCCCAGTGCGTCGTCCGCTCGTCGACGAGAGCCTGGATGCCCCGCTGCACTGTGAGCGGCGCCTCGCCGTCGGCCTTGGCTGGCCGCGCATTCCACGACTGCGCCAACTTGGTCGCGGCGTGGATCCCGCCCGAGCCTGTCGCCACCGACAAGCGCTGCCGGCGATATGTGGTTCTCGAGCTGGATATCTGAACTTCCCCAGGAACGACAAGCCCCTTCTTGGGCTTAGCGGCGCCCAGCCACTGTTAGGAATCCGCTGCCCCCAGCCTCTTTGCCGATTCGGTCACGCATGGAAAGAAAGACTAATTCTGCATTGCCTGCCGCGACACTCCAGGCATGGGGGTGCGAACTTCAAGGGGGTGTATCTGCAGACTCCGAAGCGCGCGCTTTCCCCCGCCTTCGCCCCGAGCAGAATCGCGCCCCCCAAGCAGCCCGAGCGCGAGCGGTCGGACTGCGGTAAAATAGTAACGGAACGGAGCGACATCAATATGGCTAGCGCACAAAGAATGCACCGCGTTTCCCCGTTTAGCTGAACCCGCTCTTCCGACCGGGGATGTTTTTTCTGTGCTCCATGGCGCTGATTCGCCTTTCTGCTCCGGCTGCAATGCGCGCCTGGCCACGGTCTGCAGCCGGCTGTCGATGATATTGAGATCTGCGTTGCCTCGAAGGAATGACCTGGCTCTCGATTTGACTCACCCTGAGGGCTTCTGGAAACTCGTCGTCTGCTGCTGCGTCATCATCTGCCCGTTGAATTGCACTGGCGGCTCTGGGCGCCCCTGAGGCGCAGGCGCTGCAGGTTCACGATGGCGACGCTTGACCGGATTATCAACCACATGATCATGTCATGGTAGGCGGAAACCGCCGCGTCCTCCAAATACCATCGGGCGAAAACCTAGATCCTGCTTCGGGCAGGCTGGCCCATGTGGCCGAGACGATGTTGCATCGATTTGAAGGGCCATGCCGTGTGACCCGATGCTCTCGATCGGCCCTCCAAGTAGTAGCCGGGCATGACGTATACCTGCGTGGCCCCTTGTCGCGCGCGCTGCCTGTGCCTGAGGATCTCGTTAGACGAGGGCGCGCAGATGAGCAACCACTGCAATTCACTCTGCCCATCGGACCAGCGATGCAGATCGGAGGTGACGGGGTGAGATCGAAGTGCAACGGAGAGCCCCCTACCGGGAAATCGGTTTCGGTTTCGTGTTCGTGCGTGCCGTGCGCGCGGGCGAGGCGCAGCTGCGTGGGCGGGCGAGAAGAAAGTCTCCTCTGGCTGAGGCGCGGCCGGACCAAATGATTCCTTTCCGGGGGCCGGTGGCCCGCGGTGTCCCGCCGGTGTCCCGCCTCCGGCTGAGGCGCGGCCGGACCAAATGATTCCTTTCTGGGGGCCGGTGGCCCGCGGTGCCCCGCTGGTGCCCCGTCGGTGTCCCGACGATGATGGTGATGATGCTGATGATGATGATGATGCTGATGATGATGATGGTGATGATGCTGATGCTGATGATGGTGCTGCTGCTGATGATGATGGTGATGGTGGTGATGATGATGGTGTCCCGATGATGATGATGATGATGATGATGGTGATGATGATGATGATGATGAGGATGAGGATGAGGATGATGATGATGATGATGATGATGATGGTGATGATGCTGATGATGGAAAGAGCGTGATCCACCGCCGCTCTACTTTGGAAAATTGCCGCCCTTTTCCTCCGGACCGCTCCCCGCCCTTTTCCTCCGGAGCCCGCCCCCCCCCCTCCGACCCCCCCCCCCCTGCTGGACCCCCCCCCCCACCGGCAACCCCCCCCCTCCCCCCAACCCCTCCTCCCCCCCCCTCCCCCTCGAAAACCGGGGGGGGGTCACTACCGGTTCGAACCCCCCCCCTCCTCGAAAACTGGAGGGGGGTCACTACCGGTTCGAACCCCTCCCCACCCCCCCCTCACCGCCAGCAAACGACTCCCGGTCCCTACCACCGTCCTCACCACATCCCCCATTGTGTTCCATCCTCACCACCACCTCTGGCCACTACTGTGCAGTGTCCCCACCAGTGCCACCACCACTGTCGCACTGCCCCCACTGCCCCCACCACTGTTCCCACCACGGTTCCACTCTCCCAACTTTCTCCACGGCCCCAACCACTGCCCGACTATCCCCACTTTCCCCACTGTCCCACTGACTCCTCCGCTGTCCCACTGAGCTGTCCCACTGTTCCCACCACTGTCCCCACTGTCCCCGCCACTGCCCCCACTGCACCTCTGTCCCATTGTCCCACCGCCGTCCTCGCCACCCCCTTCACCACTGTCCCCACCACCACTGTACCCTCAACTGTCTTAATGTTTCCACCACATTCCCACTGTCCCCACACCACTGTCCCCACCACCACCGCCCCCACCACTGTCCCACTGTCCCCACTGTTCCCACCATTGCCCTCACCATTGTCCCCACCACTACCGTCCCCACCACTGTCCCACTGTCCCACTGTCCCCACCACTGTCCCGCTGCCTCCCCGCCACTGTCCCCATCACCACCGCCCCCACCACTGTCCGCACCCCCCCTCGGTTTTCCAGGGGGGGGGAGGGGGTTCGAACCGGTAGTGACCCTCCCGGGTTTCGAGTTCGAGGAGGGGGGGGGGTTCAAACCGGTAGTGGCCCCCCCCCCTTTTCATGAGAGCTGGGGGGGGGGAGGTGTTCGAACCGGCAGTGACCCCCCCCAGTTTTCCGGAGGGGGGGGGGAGGGGTTCGAACCGGTAGTGACCCCCCCCCGGTTTTCCTCCAGCAGCGATGGAACACGCTCTTTCTGATGATGA